CGCGTCGAGCGCACACGTATATGCGGCGTGTTGCCTGTGTGCGTGCATGCGTGCGCGCGCAGACGTGCTATCCCCACTCTATCCCCACCATCGCGACAGCGATGTAGCTGGTAGTCCAAGCTGGCATCACTGGTCCGGACCCCTGATCCCAATCCATCGCGGAGGAGGGGGTGTCAGGTCTTGCGGCATCCCCCTCCTCCGAGCCATGAGACGCGATCCACCTGTTGGCGGGAGAGCTCCCCCCCGCGCGGGCGGGTCCGGTCTCACCTCCGGCAACCTCTCTAGGCGGACGACTGCGCGCCTGATCCCGAGAGCTCGGGCAAAATCAAACCCGCCGCCGCCCGCCCGTTTCTGGTCCCCGGGGCCAGGTGGCGGGTCGTCGGTCCTACCCATAGTGTAAGGATTACATGGTGTGCTCAATTGCCTGGGGGAATTCGGGTAATGACGTCACTCGTGTCGAATTGTGTAAACAGAGTAGCCAACGTCTAGAAGTAAAACATTTTGGTGTTGTAATATTGGCACATGTTCATGCATCCTTGTCACACTCATGCCGCTTATGCTACTCGTGTTTAAGTACGGTACATTGTTTGTGGTAAACAGTGATAAACAGTGGTACACAGACAATATATAAATTTAAAATAAAAATGGTGCGATGTATTATTAAAAGTTGTAGGAATAAAACAACGGGGGTTCGTAAGGAAGTTGTGAATTTTTTTCAGCTACCGAAAAATGAAGTGATGTGGGAAGGATGGCTGAAAAAAATAGGAGGCTATGTTTTACCACCAAAAGTTGAATTTGGTAAGTTTGATATTGTACATAAACGTGCAAAAGTATATTAATTGAAAAACAAAAATAAATGAAAAATAATATTTTTTAGTTAATAATATAACCTCAAATTTTGTATTTACAACTGAAGTAAAAATGTCATGAAATGTTATTATATGAAAAGAAAATAATAAAAAAGACAATAAAATATTATTAAGTATTAGCACTTTGTTCATGTATATCAGTAAAAATATTTTACAATTAAAGATATGAAAATCTTTAATTTGAAATAAAAATTATGAAACCACATTTAATACGATGTATTAAGTTTTATTATTTATACATTATATTATTTTCAGCAAGGATATGCTCAGTTCACTTTAGTCAAGAGTCCTTTCATCAAGGTCGAGCACGGAAAGACCCTGTTAAGAAACGCCACCTACTACCATCGGCTGTGCCAACGTTGTTTTTGAATTGTTCGGAAGCTCAAAATGTAAACAAGTAAGTATGTAAAAACACATACACATTTGTATTTGTAACGTGGTGTTATGTAATTACATAAATGTACTTCTTTACAAGGAATGCGGTGGCTGAACCGAACCTCAAGTTCAATGTCCTCGGACGAGAATTCCCATTAGTTGTCAATTCTGAAAGAAGAATAGGATCTTCAGATACAATTTCACCATCAACTTCTCATGTAGTTGTAGAAGACAACATTGTAAATATTAGTACGCCAAAAGGAATACGTAGGAGGTAAATATTTGAAGGTTCAATTTAACAAAAATCACAAAGGGATGATT